TTAGCCGATGGTGGGTTGGGGTACGGTGACGGGGGAGGAGAAGATAGAGTGCGAGGTGGGTCAGTGTAGAGGTGGCGAACAATTATTGGTTTCATAGTGGGCAATTTTTGTATTGTGAATATGCAAATATAATGGATGATTTGTTAATTCAATATAACAAGGGTTTTTCCAATATGCCCGTTTTTGGTTACGTCTTTTGATCCTTGGAAAGGAAAAGAGAATGGGAACCATTACCATTGATTGAGGACATCTTTTCTGTATGCCATTATACTACAATGGTGCTGACTAATCAGTGTTCGAATTGAAGTCTTTGGTCGTTAGTTCACGTGCTATATCTCTCTCTCTCTCTCTCTCTCTCTATATATATATATATATATATATATATATATTCAGCTTTATGCTGAACCTGAACGTAAGGCCATTAAACTGAACACGAGGCCTGGGCCCACAAAATGGAAAGCCTAGCACGGTGCTGCTTCTGTTCGAATCACTCGCTTCGATTCTGATTCACATTTCGTAATGCATTCGTAAGATTTCTTGTTCAACAATCCATCTGGGATAGGAATCCTCAGATTCCAACGTAGGCTTAGGTTTCATCTTTTGATCCATATCTCTTCTTGTACTAAAATGGACGATTACATATGTTTCAACAAAAGTAACGAGTAGTAGAAGGAATTTGGAAGTAAATACAAAATGCCAGGAAGAAACAAAAAACAAGATACAGACTTCTACAACAGTTTAAAAGAAAGATAAATGGGTCTTACATTACATGCAAGGCAAACAAAGGGAGAAAGGGGATACCATCATCATTCAAGACGAGCAGCAACCAGATTGCTGGTTCACAGGCTGTCCCCTTATTTGCACCGTCTGTGGCTTGGCTCCCCCTGCTCCTGGCTGGCTTGCCATTCTGCATTTCACTCAAGTGTAAGTGTGAATGCCCATTGAACATGATCTACCGAGGGTGACAAACGAGAGTTACCTGGTCTTGATGGCAGCAGTCATGGCCATGAAAGCCTCTTCCACGTTGGTCGCATTCTTTGCACTTGTTTCCAAGAACGGTATTCCCAGTTCATCCGCCAATGCCTGCGCCCCCCCCCCATTCAAAAATGCTCGTTTCAGTTTCAGCATAACCCATGATCAATTGCTATATGAGTCATGTGAGCCTCCACTCTTTTTGACCCACCAAATGAGTATCACCCTTTCTACCGGTCTTAAACAAAATAACACTTATGAGGTTGCAACATGTGTTTTCAATGGGATAATACCTTAGCCGTCTCAGTAGATACAACTTTCTGCGAAGTCAGATCGCACTTGTTCCCCACCAGTAGTTTATTGACATTCTCACTTGCATAGCGGTCGATTTCATTTAGCCATTGTTTGACATTGTTAAAGCTCTCCTGGTCCGTTACATCATAGACAACCTGCCCAAATTGCCAAAACAGCATCAAGGCAAACCATTAACCTGGCAAGAGGGTTGGACATCAGGACATATGCACACGACAGTAGGGAATATAACAGCAACAATAGGGAACATACGATGATCCCATGAGCTCCACGATAGTAGCTACTAGTGATCGTCCTGAAACGTTCTTGGCCTGCTGTATCCCACTGGACCAACGGCAATATAAAAAGAGAGTGATAGTATGCTCATTCACGCAAACTTGGAGTAATTTAACATGTGGATCCCACTCAACAACACTTACGATCTGGAGTTTGATGGTCTTCCCATCCTGTTCAACGGTGCGGATTTTCTGCATCATATCATTGAGGGAAATCAATATCTTTTGTTTTGTATTCACGCATACGAAAAAGTAGAGCAAATGCTGTAAAATCTTACAAAATCAACACCAATGGTACTGATGTAGCTATCCAGGTAGGAATCATCCTGCAGGACACAATGAAGTTAACATGGAAGATAGGTAACTTTGAACAAAGTATACTCATTGGGACACAAACCAGGTGAGAATCTAGTGATAAAATCAGGCTGTAAGCCTGTAATAAATGAGATTAGGACAAAACCATATTGTATTATATTATATTGTATTGGGGTAGCAGGAATTGAAAGGACTCTGATAGCAAAGATGATGGACCCATAAACCATAAACCGAGACAAGAAAGAGAACCTGTACAGCTACTTACAGCAAATCTCAGAAGCAAGCATGATTTTCCGACACCAGAGTCACCTATGAGCAAAAGCTTGAACAAATAGTCACTGGAAAACATCGAGGTAGAAAAAGGCGTAAGAATCTTCACGCTTCTTGAAACACACAGACCAAACCAGATAAAGGGTTCATCGGCGGTTACGAGTGTTTTTTGTTGATCTACCTATGCATGACACAAGCTCGCTTGTCCATCATGTTATCCAGAAACAAAAAACGCAGAAAACATAATTTCCGAAAACATATAAAGTTCCCTCCTGGTATCGTGATGATAATACAAAATAAGACCCCGTTGATTGTCCGTTATCAGTCCTCGTGACCTCCATGCAAGAAAAAGAGTTCCCATGACATGACGCAACGACACGAAATTTTAATCAATCGTACAAATCCAACATGCGAATGCAAACTAAGAAATTCTCCGGTAGTCAACAGAAAAATTAGATCTTAACCGACGTTTTCTAGATCTAATCGATGGAAAATCCACATGACGAGAATCCAAATTGAGAAGCCGATGAGACAAAATAATAAAGATATCAACGAGGAAATCCAATCAAAATTTCACAAATCCAGTGATGACAAGATCTAAGCAATTCGAACAGAAACAAATCACAACAACGTAGAAAAAATTCGAAGGATCGATCTAACGGATGGATCCCATGGAAGAGCAGAAGCTTCTTACTATTCGGGATTCATGGCACCTCTCGTAGCTGGAACAATCTTCCAGGAGAAATCCGATTACGTGCGGGAGACTGGGAATAGGGCGATCGAGATGAGAGAGACGCAGACGTTGCTTCGTGTTGTCTAAGAAACGGAGGAAAAAGGCCCACGCTGTTGGAATTTAAATGCGTATTGGTGGACGCTGACGTGGCGACGCCCATCCAGAGATGCGTGGAGGAGAAATAATCAAAATTCATTTATTCGATTTTGTTCCTTCATCTCGGTCCAGAGTAAACATTCCCAAGTTATCGTATTTCATGATTATAAAAACCAAGTTTTATGAGGCACAACTTTTGCTTACAATTTACGTAAATGATAACTTGAACGTGTGGCTGTAAATTATCGGGCCATTTGGTGACAACAGTATTGGGCCATTAAGAAGGCCCAAAAATACAGTTGAGAGATCCAATCTATGCTCAGAGTAGAACCCCCCCCGCAACCAGTTCAGTAACCGCGACTGCGTTCGAATGAAAACGTGGGAATACAGGCGGGAAACGAAATCCATGGTCGATTCTTAGCTTTTGCAGCTACAACTCGTGAAAGCGAATACTGTTTTGTGTATACGAAGTGCGTGATTCATCAGAAAATGGAAGAAACCGGCAGCGCCGCCAACAGAATTAGCGGAAATGGCGTGGTGAAGAAGAATCAAGGGTTAGGGTTTTCTTCTGGAGGAACGAAAATCGAGAACCCATTTGCTTTCAAAGCCCTGCAAGTCTTTACGGGGTTTGGCGTAGGATGCGGTATTGGTATTGGCAGTGGTGCTCCTCTAAATCTTGGTACACTTTCCTTCCGGAGTCCGGGTCGTCGATTTCATTGATTGTTGTTCTACGAATCATATGGTAGTCCATTAGCAGGGTAATAATATAGATAGATGTGTATTGGTGCATGTTGCAGGTGGAATGCCG